ATTTTTGTTTTGATTATTATTGCAGTTCCTCCGTGTACTTTATTAAGTCGGTGATTCGTTTTATGTACGCTGTAATTTGGTATACTAATGTTAGCATTAAACTTCTCAGTCTGAAAGGATTGTTCGTGAATGTACGTGTAGTTTATGAAAGGATATGAAATAATGAATGCGTAGTTTAGAACAATACGATCGATATATTATAGGCCTAAAAAATTGGGAAAAAACTCCACAAAGTTCGGTTAGGTTTGATCTTGTGTGCAAACTATGTTTGCCCGTAAGCGCAAACGGAAACCACCTAAATAGAGAAAAACCCTTGGTTGATTTACATTGATAAAATACAAACTGATATTGTGATAACATGCGATTATGCGTTCAACCGTTGTATATATATGTCGGATGTAAAAGAAATTGAAATTGGTTAATTTGTGGCTAACCGACCAAAAGATATGTGAAATGAAACACATGGCGTTGTGATGTCGATTGACTACTTTCTGGCTAGTCGACCAATATAATGTACGTAATGAATTGATAGTTTTTTAGTCACTGTGGACTTGATTAATTATTTTGTGGCTAGTCAACCAATGATAAGTATAAGTGTTTGTGTAAATTGTGTTAGTGTTACCTGAATTTGAGGAGGATTGGTCTCGCGGCGATTGCTAAAATAGCACGACTCAAACAAAGAGAACAGATTGGAAGAGTTTTTTAAAAACTAGAATAAATACGCGTCTATTATAGACTATTTTAATTAAAACTAATTAAGCTTAACTATACTACATTAACAAATTAAATAAGTTAATGAAATTCTGTTTAATGAATATAGAATTCAAAATGTGCGATTTGTTCGGACGAATGATTTATACTGCCTGACCTCCACAACTAACCGATAACGCGATGTCATCCGAAACACATACTCTCGCCTACTCTCCTTAAGTAAGAAAAAAAAAAGTCATATAGTTAGATCGTAGTTAGGCATGCTGAGTAAGTATATCGATGAAGGAGTAAAGAAAAGAGAGAGAAAGAAATAGTACGTGGCTACTAGGAGAGAGGAGAAAGCGCGACTATGCTACAACCTTATACTTCCCCTTTACTCGTACTATATAGGAAATACTTTCGTCTTTCGACGAAACAACTAAGATAGTTCTTGCTTGTAAAGTGTGTTTTTGATATCAATATGATGTCTACATTTTCATAGATTAAGAATGATTTCAATTCGAAATGTCTTTGAATTAGATCATATTCATTCCAGATAGCGTGTTTTATACTGCTCATTTTGCTAGTTTGTTTACTAATACGGTCAAGAGATTGAACATAGTGTCCATTCTTTTCATCAGCTGCTCCATCATATGTTCCAGTTTACTTGTGTTATTGTTGTTGTTGTTGTCGTTGGAGTGTTTACTTACATTAGATCGGTCTGTGTATTCATTTCTATTAATTCTGCGGTTACGTTTCGGTTGTTTTGTTTTGATAACACTTGAGCATATGTTATGTTTGTTTTAATTTTGTTAGCATTTAAATTTGAATTAGTATCAATATTATTTTGAACTTGTTTACTGTTTGGAACATAAGTTTTTTCTCTTAGCCTCTTGGGAAACAGTTTTTGCTATAGTTGTTTGCGAATCGGATAATCTTTATAGCTTGCAGAATGGTTATCTTGGCAATTTTCACACCTTACTTTTTTGATTTTTTCCTTTATAGTACAGTTTTCTGTTGTATATTGTTTTGTAAATTTCACACAGATTGCACTTTTGTTGCAGTAATTTTTTGTATACCCGTATTCTTGACATTTATGACACTGTGGAATTTCTCCTTTAATACTCGGTAGTTCAAATTTTATCAGAGTGTTTAATAGTTTGTTCACCTTATAGATGTCTTAGCTCTTGTAGTCTTGTTCGATTTCCACTGTAGATAGTGGTAGTGGAATTTTTGTTGCCCGATGCCTAATTTTCCAGATGCTCATCACATTATGTCCGTATTCCTCAATGGCAGTTTTTAAATCTTCAGTGTCAACGGAAGGATGCATACTTCTCAAGACTACTTTTAGTCCATTATCTTCTTTTCTTTGATATGTGTAGAATTGAGGGTTTTTCTCCTTTAATGCGTTTACGATGGGCAGGTATTTTGCAGCTGTTGACGGCTGTACTTTTATTTTGTTTTGCTCTAAGATTCAACGCATAGCCATCTTTGGCTATGTCGTTAAGAAGTTTTTCCAGCGGTCTCATATTTTTTACATTGTAGGCAAAGATAGAAGGCGATCTATTTTCCGATATTTTGATATTATTTGATATGTTTATTTCTATATTTTCACTGTTCTTAAGAACTTCGAATCTATTGACGGGAGTCAATCCGTACTGGCTGAGTAGTACTCTGCTAGCTTGGCTAGCCGCTTATATTGAGGTGTATTTATATCTGGGCTATTACTTTCTTCTTTTCTTTGTCCTCCTTTTTGCTTTTTTCCAGTTGCAATTGTTTATTTTTCTGTGTTGTTTAATACAGATCTAGACATCGTGATTCTTTCCTGTGTGGTCATTTGGTCTTTATTCTGTTGATTATTATAACTTCAGTAATTAATTTCAGTAAAAATGTTTTTTCCCTTGATTGGTTTAAATGCTTGATTTCCAAGTAGAATGAAGCACAAAACACGTCCGCTTCACTCGAGGACCGCAGGTAGATTTAACCTAATATTTGATTTTAAACCTCTTTAACTGGAATACTTGATTCCTCAACCCTTTTCTTTTTCTGTGGCTCTTTAAACTTCGGAAAACTATCAGTCGATCCTGACGCTACATTAAAGTTTCTCAACCATACTTCAGTCCTAATATTCCTACGCCTGTAAAACTTCTCATCCGACATGTTATCGGGAAGATAGTTAAAACGTAACCTAACGTTTTCAGAATTAGGAAACTTCGCTGGTGAAGAGGAAGGAGGATGCGTTGGAGTTAGGGATTGGGTTTGAATTGACTTCAAACCCAATCTATTTGGCTGAAAATATGGAACGTAGGCAGACGTTGACTGAGGTATTTGATTCGGTGGACACAATGTAGTGTACGCAGACACTGGTATCGAATAATAAAAAAAAACGAGTAGGTTGCTCTAAAACTGAATAATGAGAATGACAGGATGACTAGTTAGTTGGGTAGTTGGTTTGGCAAAAATTATTCTCCTGCAGGTGATCTAACCGTCCCCTTGTAGGATTGTTTAAAAACGGAAAATTTTCTTGTGATGATGGTCCTGCCGTTGTACTATAGAGGATCCTTAAATTTTCTCTATTTTCTATTTGTAGACGCCTCCGTTTACGCTCCCGGGATGTAAGTCTTTTATTTATATTATAATTGATTTCCACTAAAAATAAGGAAATAAGAACTTAATTTTCCTACTTATATATATATATGTGTGTGTTTATATATATATATATATATATAAACATAGATTCTTTTTTTTTCAAGTGTTACTTTAAACTTGAAAAGACTTCTGCCGAAATGGTCAAAATGCTGAAAAATGCCTTTGGAGATGACTACAGGGTGTCAATTAAGTCCCGGGACGCCTGAATATTTTCTGAAGTACTTCAGTTCTGAAAAAGGTCAAGGTCGTTCCTTTAGTAACTTTCAACGCGGAATCCGATGGTGACCTTGGATTTGACCTTAAGATTGACCTTCAAGGTTATTTCAAGGTCAACTTTGTTTTTTTAAATGGGAACCCCTATTTTTGACAACGGCAATCGAAAGAGCGGAAAATTTTACGTCCAAAACGGTATTTTAAAATTTTTTTTCATGGCCTTGAGAAGGTCGATTTAAGGTCAAATGTTTGAAAAACTGCCTAAAAGCGTTTTTTTTAATTTTTAAGATATCGAAAAATGACCTCTACAAAATTTGTTCAGAACAGAGTGGGCCACCCAATGCACCAAAAACCTTTGACCTTTAACCTCATTTTGAAGGTCATTTCAAGGTCGAAGTGTTTTTTGTAATGGAAACCCCTCTTTTTGACCCCGGATTCGCACATAGCGCGAAACTCAACACAATACCTTATCCAAACGTCGGATTTCGCGCTATGTGCGTATCCGGGGTCAAAAAGAGGGGTTTCCATTACAAAAAACACTTCGACCTTGAAATGACCTTCAAAATGAGGTTAAAGGTCAAAGGTTTTTGGTGCATTGGGTGGCCCACTCTGTTCTGAACAAATTTTGTAGAGGTCATTTTTCGATATCTTAAAAATTAAAAAAAACGCTTTTAGGCAGTTTTTCAAACATTTGACCTTAAATCGACCTTCTCAAGGCCATGAAAAAAAAATTTAAAATACCGTTTTGGACGTAAAATTTTCCGCTCTTTCGATTGCCGTTGTCAAAAATAGGGGTTCCCATTTAAAAAAACAAAGTTGACCTTGAAATAACCTTGAAGGTCAATCTTAAGGTCAAATCCAAGGTCACCATCGGATTCCGCGTTGAAAGTTACTAAAGGAACGACCTTGACCTTTTTCAGAACTGAAGTACTTCAGAAAATATTCAGGCGTCCCGGGACTTAATTGACACCCTGTATATGGGTAACCTGTGACAGCTGAACCTTGACTGCGTCTGTGCGGGAGCGCAGCATTGCACTGGAAAGCGTCGTCATATACTACTATTTTTATCGTTGATTTTGTCCACGAATAAGTTGGATTAAATTTCATATTTTATTTTATGTCTCGGATTTCATTCAAAATTTGTTTGAACAAAAAATCCGTTAGAAAGGAACTGTAAAAATTATGTAATAAATTGCAATAGTGGAAAATTACTCGTATAGAACCATAATTGTGCTATTATTAATGAAAGCTAGAAAATAAAATTTATAATTAATTTTTTTTCTATTGGACAATAAAACATTTTAATGTAAGACTATTATTGAATGTATTGAAAATCTGTTTACTTATTGAATCTGAATTTATAGTTTTATAGCAATAATATATGAAATTAACTGTAAAATATACAAGACCATAATTAATCATTAATCTAATCAATATATTATTTACAGCATTAAATAAATGCCACAACAGAAATATTTTTTCATGTAACTTGATTAAAAAAACTGACTTAAGCACAGAACGACTCTCACGGTAAGATTTTATGGTTATTCTGCTCATATAACAAATAAAAGCATATTTTTAGAAATTTTGTGTCCAGTTCTGGCAAAATTAATAACTGATTGTCTATGTATGAGGCACATATATATAATGATCCCTATTTTTAGCAATTCCGGATTCTTACTATTACGGATTAATATATGTATTTTATACTCATTGAATATTATTATATTAAACTTTAGTTTATACTTTTTGCAACTAACTAAATCATCGCTATTAAGACTATGAAAAGAAATTATCTTTAAACAAAAATGAGTCAAAAATTTTACTAGTCTAACAAACTTATATTAAAACAAAAGTTATATTAAAACAAAAAAGTTGAAAGTTTTTTAGTATAGGCAAAAATCGGTGACGAGCCAAAACACATCCAAACAAAACAGCTGTTAAAAATTAACCAAACATTCAAAATGTCCGACCTTGTTAGCATAAGTAAGGGACATGAGTACCAACATAACGCTACAAAAAAATCAAAAATCAAATTTACGTAGCCCGTGGAAATGTAAAATTTGCGATACTTTTCGAACAGACCTCGTATATCTCATCTGATCTGTCATTCATAAAGTTGACTAAAGTCCAGATGAAATTTTTAATATATTCTTAATTTGAGGAGAATATCATCGTAGATGTTGCGTAGCCGCATGTCGTTATATAGAGTGTTACCAATATAGGCGCAACCGATTGCAATATACTATTATAAGTTTAAGTGTTTAAGAAAGATAAAAGAAAATGGTGATTTGCAGTGCCAAAGACGATATCATAGCTAATACGAAAATTATGTACAAGTTGTAGTAGTTCTTGCTTTAGTCCACATTAATTTTGACGTAAACTCATGCCAGATGAGCCAATCAAGTGTTATAGTATTCCTAAAATAAAGCTTCTCGAAATTTAAAAAAAAATGTTCAAGGCAAGCCAAACAAGAAAATTTGCTTCGACCCGTTGGCAAGAACGCGGATACGTTGACCGTCGTTATCACTCCACCGTTTAAGTAAAGGGGAAATGGAATGAATGAAATAGGATGGGATCAATGAAACAGAAATCTATGAGGTGTGTTCAAAAAATACCCGGAATTTTTAAATTTCGCGGGTCTGGAGAGTCCGATTGTCAAATTTTTTTTTTATTGTGTTGGTATACATGCCCCTGAAGTATGATAAAATTTTCAGCTATATTCACTGTTTACTTTGTCTGCGGTAGTCGCTAAGGTTTGACGTGTTTTTATGAGCTCGGCGATTTTCGTTTTTCAAAAGAAATGGATCAAAGAATTGGTATTAAATTTTGCGTAAAAAATGAAATAAAGTGTAACAAAGTGTATGAAATGTTACAAAAAGCCTATGGTGAGTCTACTATGAAAGAAACAAGTGTTTACGAGTGGTATAAGCGTTTCCAAGATGGCCGCAAAGACGTTGATGATGACAAACGCTCCGGTCGACCCAGCACGTCAACGATCGATGAAAATGTGAAAAAAGTGGAAAAAATGGTTCTGAATGATCGCCGAATCACAATTAGTGAAGTTGCTGATGAAGTTGGCATATCAATTGGCTCATGTTATAACATTTTTTCAAATGTTTTGGACATGAAACGGGTGGCAGCAAAATTCATTCCAAAACCGCTGAACTTTGACCAAAAAGTAATCGTATGAACATCGCTCAGGAGCTGTTAAACGACGTCAACGACGATCCAAGTTTGCTTGAAAGGGTCATAACTGGTGATGAAACATGGGTGTACGGTTATGATGTCGAAACCAAAGCACAATCGTCCACCTGGAAGCATTCAACGTCACCAAAAGCGAAAAAACCACGTCAAGTTCGATCAAATGTGAAGGTTTTGCTTACAGTTTTCTTTGACTGCAGGGGCGTGGTGCATCATGAGTTCTTATCACAAGATCGTACGGTTAATAAGGAGTATTACCTTGAAGTTATGCGACGTTTGCGTGAAGCAGTCCGAAAAAAAACGCCCCGATTTATGGAAAAAGAATTCATGGCTTTTGCATCACAATAACGCACCTGCTCACTCGTCGTTGCTTGTTCGTAATTTTTTGGTCAAAAACAATACCGTAGTCGTGCCCCAATCTCCATATTCACCAAATATGGCTCCGTGTGACTTTCCTGTTCCCAAAGTTGAAGAGACCCATGAAAGGACGGCGTTTTTCCTCGATTGAAAAAATAAAGGCCGAATCGCTGAGAGTGCTCAAGGACATAACAAGGTAATAACGTCATTTGCAGAGAATAACGTAATTGTCCAAAGATATGTAGGCTCTAGGAATCAAATAACGTTATTTTATAGTAAATGACGTTATTTTTGAGGGAGTCATTTTCCGGTGGTAGAAAAATGTTATTCACATAGGCTATGTTATGACATGATAATCATACTTGACATTTACATTAAACCTTTTCTTTATTTGTTCGCCAATCCATATCATAAAATATTTAAAATCATGATAAATACATAATTATTATAAAATAATCACAAGATTTATTTACATATAAATTAGATTCATGTAAATTAGAAGCAAGTAGAGTATTTATAAATTTTTACTTACAAAGTTAAGAAGAGCATTACAACATTTTTTACAAAATTTCATTGAAATACTACCAAAAAGAATTTCGTCCCATGTTATTTATAATTTCTTATTCGATGTTTAATAAGAGTATTCATTTGGTACAGAACATAGGAATCTTTCATCGTTGTAATTCATATAAACGCAAATTTTATGTAATGAATCAGTACTTATAACTTCTAATTCTTGACTAATAGTAATTATCCTTTTTATCTGAAATTCGTCAAAATCATTATTATCAGAAATATCTAAAACGTCGACTGCTTTACACACAGTGTACTCTTTCCTTTGCAACGTATCAATAATAAAAAAAACAATTTGTACAAAATTATTGTCACCTGTCATCGCAAAAGAATTATTTGATCTAAGTCTTATAGTCTCGCAAGATAAATACACGCAATCCATCTTAACTAGTTTTCGGTAAACTCTAGCCGTGTTAGATAAATTCAATCTTCTTCTCCACTCAGGTGTTAAATAAGTCAATTTTCCAAAATATCTTCCGATGTGAGTAGTCAATACTTTTGCACACTCTCTTGTTTCTAAATACTTAACATAACTCAAGATTTCTGAATTCGGATTGTTTTGTAACATAAATTTTGTCAAAATGCGATCGCTTCTGTTCATACCCATTATTCGACAGATTTGATATTGAACACCTTTCGCAGCATGTACCAATTTCACAATATATCCGTTTCCATTTTCAAATCCGTAGCCAGAGTGACAATACAAAGGACCCCAATTCAGGACGCTGAGTGCCGTATGGAGTAGCTGATGTATATTGAAGGTCATCGCACTTCTTGAATAATACAATTCTGTTAGAACAACGAATGTCGTCAATAAACGATGTGCTTCTTGAATTTGGTTCCGACTTATATTATTTTGCAATAGAATATAGTATGCCCTAACTAGATAGGACCAATGAATAGCGTAGCATCTCATGCGAGGAAATTTAATAAGAACAATTGTACTATAGTATAATATCCAATTTTGGTATTCTTTTGCTTTCCAATACTTTCTATCTCGTATAGAACGACAGTTCCGCATGAGTTTACTAGGGACAGTTATGGCTTTTAAAACGTTATCCACTTGATCGATTTCTATATTAGTCAATGAATAAGGCATATTTTTAGTGTCAAACCAGTATTCCATAAACTGTTTCCCGATACCTAAATCGAGGTAATGCATTGGATCTGGAACGAATCCGGATACAATATTAAAGTAGTTGAGACGACTGAGAACTGTTTCATTAATGACACCGTTAATGGACTGACCAGAAGCTACAGCTTGTCGCGCATCTCGCAAAGTATCTGCTTCATTCCTCTCATTAATCGGTTCATCCAAAAGTATATACTTAACGCTTCCACCCCTACCTACCGCAATGTAATATCCCGGATGTAAGCACCAATTACATCCAAAATAACCATTGAATTGAGTAACGCCTTGCATAGGGGCGCGAGCAACGGAATCATCACAAGAGCAAATAGCATATACATAAATAGTATGTTTTGTATCTCTTATATTGCAGATAATTCCTTCATCCGAAAATGTATTCATTTGATTAACAAATGGCTCAAAATACATATTCATATCAGGCTTATTTCTACCAAACCATAGTCCGCATACTATTGGCTTTGAAGTTCTGACTTTAAAGGGTAATTCATTGATTATGATTTGTATTGGCCATATAGAGAAAGAAGAGCTTTCAAATACTGGTGAACCATCGCTGTTAAAAGTCGCGGTTATAAATTTATTTTTTCGATCATCAGGTAAAGAATTTCTCAACTTTTTATACAACAAACCACTGTGGAATTCATTTATGTTATCAGAATTTTTAACACGGGCCTCAACTATTGATTCATAATAAGTCCAATTCTCTTCAAGATAATAAGCTATTTCTTCGTCTGGGTTCATTATGCAGAAAAAATCTCGGTAAGTTGGATCAGTCAAGGAAAACCGGCAATTACAAGAAACGCAATGTATGTTATGATTCTGTTCCTCTCCACGCCGAAACTCTTTAACATAACGCTTACAGGTAGGGCATAATGCGTGATAAGTAATATTTTTTTCGCAGTTGAAAATTGCATTAACTAAGTATTTCGAATCAGGTAAAACGGAGGTAGCACAAAATATGTTTAGCATCTTAAATAAATCTGCGATTGCAACTTGGGGCAAGTTGTAAACTAGTGAAAATTTCAAAACTCCTAAATATATTTCCGCTTTATTTACGTTGATTCTACTATCAATAATTTCATCATTGACGATATCGTTCAGTATCTCATCTAATCGATTTTGTGTTCCATTGTCATCTACAAATGGGTAGTCAAATATATGTTGATATTGGATGTTATCATCATCACTTGCATAATCGTCGTCTTGCTCGTGTAGCAATTGCTCACGTTCATTTCTTGCATGATCCTTAAAAACAATAAGAATTATATAAGCAAAATATAAAAAATCTACGTATACATTATTGTACTATAAACAATCAACGTTGATGATATGATTAAA